CCCCCCCCGGGCGGGGGGCCCCAGCCGCTGCAGCAGCTCGGCCACCGAGATGTCCCGGGGAAAACCGGGGGGTCCCTTGCTTTGCGTTGGCTTGGGGAGGGGGTCCTCGTCGCATGGCTCTTCTTTCACTGGCACCGGGAGTGAGAGGCGGTGGGTGGGCACGGGGAGGGGGCAGCACCCCCAGCCCCTGCCCGCCAGGATCCCCCTCCACCCCAGCAACACCTTTCACCGCCGGCGGGTCCAGCTCCATCTTCTCCTCCTTAGGACCGGGCAGCCAGGGCTGGGCGTCCTCCTCCTGCTCTGCCGCCTCCTCCTTGAAGAGCCAGCCCGAGTGGGCCAGCGGCAGCTGCACCGGCTTGTTACGGATGTCGTTCTTCAGCCCCGGGTCGTCGAGGAACTGCGGGGACGGGAGAGGGGACACTCGGCACCGGCCCGGTGGCACCAAAACCACCCCCCAGCCCTGGTCCTGCTCACATCGTCCTTCTGCAGCATCCGCAGGATCTGCTTCGTCTCCTCATCCGTCTCCCTCTTCTCCTTCTTGATGTTGATGATGTGGGAAGGGCCAAAGTCCGACATGTCCACCGTCTTGTCCCAGGAGCCTGCTGGGGAGAGGGGAGCAGCCCCGGGGTGAGCCCCCAGCGGGGTGGGACGGCCCCGAGACCCCCCCCCAGGAAGGGGGGCAGCTCCCGTTACCTTTCTTCTTCATCATTTCAGCAGGGCCCTGCTCGAAGATGGAGTGGGACTGGATAACCTCAGGCCGGCCCCGGCCCCGGCCATGCCCATCACGCTGCCGGTCCCGGTCCCGCTCCTTCTTCTCCTTCTTGACGGAGACATCCTCGCGGGGCCTGGGGAGCGGGGAGGTGGCCCGTCACCTCCGCCACCAGCTCTCCATCCCAGGGCACGTTTTGCCCACCGAGACCCCGCCGCGCAGGTACCCGCCAGCAAAACCGCCTCCGCGCCCCACGGAAACGCTTACGAGGCCACTTACTCTTCCTTGATCTTCCTGCTAATTATGTTGGGGGTGAAGGTTTTCTGCAAACGAGAGCAGAGGGACAAGTCACTGCACGAGCGGAGATAAGCAACAGAAACCAAACCGGCCGCGGGGCTGGAGGAGGCGGGTGGGGGCCCCGCCACGTCCCGCACGGACCAGCTTCCCCCGGGGCACCCCGAAACCCCCCGGATTGCCGCTCCAGGGGCCCCTCCTCACACCCCACCCGTGCTGCGGAGGTCCCCAAGCACCCATACCCCACACGGTGGGGTGGGATGCAGGGTGACCCCGAAAAGGGGGGTTTTGGGGGAGCCCTCCCCAGGGTACTCACCTTTTTCACGCCTCCCAGGGTGAGGTCTCGGGAGCGGATGGAGGGCAGGCGGCCGGGGGGGAGGGGGGGGGCGGGCGGCCGCCCCCCCCGCAGCCCCCCGGCCCCCGGGGGGCCCCG